AAAGAAGTTTTTAATCTTTTTTTGGGTGGGGGCAATAAAGTATAATGTCATGAGTACAAACTCTCAGGCTTAAGGGCTAGCAAAATGGTAGAGTGGTTGTCTAGTATACATAAGGCCATGCATGGGGTTCAATCCCCAGCACAGAATAAGAGAAAAAACAAAATAAAACTATATGCTTTTACACTCAGTAGCCCAGATCTGAGGGCCAGTTTCAAAAAAAATTACCTGTTTAAACCTTCGTAAGTTACATAATCTCTCTGGGCCTTGACTTCCCTCATGTATTTTTTTATGTGGCACTGGGAGATTGAACCTAGGGCCTTGTGTATAGTAGGCAAGAACTAGAACACTGAGCTACATCCCCAGCCCTTCTTTTTACTTTCTCTTTATTTGAGGTAAAGTCTCACTAAATTGAGCCTTGTGTCTCAACCTCCCGAATAGCTGGAATTCCAGGCTTGCACCACCAGGCCTGGATGTATCATCTTAAAGATGCAAACAGCACTACTGGCTTTTCAGTTGCTGCTGGACTGAGAGAGAGAATCTTAACAAACTGGTTATCCTAGAGAATGAAATCCTGTTAGAAATCAATAAGTGACCCATCATTTTTCTTTACTGACGAACTGTGAGAGACTTGAAATGCCTGTGTTAACACAGCAGTCTTTTCCCTTTTTTGTTCTTCGGCAAAGGGCTAAAGAACAAAATGCAACAAATATTTTTTTTAAAATTCTGTAAGAACCTTGATAAACTTTGACCATTCAAAGCTTCAATTATAATACAGATGGTTTCTTTCCAGACAACGTGTAACTATTCAACAGCATTGCTTCCCTATCCAATGCTGAAATCTTCAAAGCCGAGACAAAGTCTTTTTCTTCTTGGCATATCCTCATAGTCTACCTCTCAACATCAGCAATTAAACAAATTTCCTGTAACCAGAAGTTCACCATATAATAAAAAAATAAATTCAAAGTAGTGTCCTCTTTTCACTTTCTCTTTGTTTTTGAAACAGGGTCTCAATGTGTAGCCCATGCAGGCCTCAAACTCATGATCTTTGTAGCTGGTATTACCAGGGGTAGGCAGACCCCATATCCAGCAACTCACGCCTCCGCCCCGTGCCCACTTTTAGACAGTCTCATGTAACTCAGACTTGCCCCAGGCAGGACAAGGGCGTGTTCAAGGTCATCAAGAGAGAGGGTACAGGCACAGAGACACCCATGATTGGGGACCGAGTCTTTGTACACTACACTGGCTGGCTATTAGACGGCACAAAGTTTGACTCCAGTCTGGACTGCAAGGACAAATTCTCTTTTGACTTGGGATATTGCTGTGGCAACCATGTGAAGGTGGGGGAAGTGTGCCATATCACCTGTAAGCCAGAATATGCCTACGGTTCATCAGGCAGCCCTCCAAAGACCTCCCCCCACACACACCAACACTACCCTTGTGTTTGAAGTGGAATTGTTTGAGTTTAAGGGAGAAGATCTGACAGAAGATGAAGATGGTGGAATTATCTGCAGAATATGGACTAGGGGTGAAGGCTATGCCAGGCCCAATGAGGGTGCTATAGTAGAAGTGGCACTGGAAGGGTACTATAAGGATCTGCTCTTTGTCCAGCAGGGGCTCCGCTTTGAGATTGGTGAAGGGGAAAGTCTCGATCTGCCCTGTGGACTAGAGTCAGACATTCAGCACATGGAGAAATGAGAACATTCCATTGTATACCTCAAACCCAGCTATGCTTTTGACAGCACTGGGAAGGAGAAGTTCTGCATCCCACCACATGCTAACCTGAGAAATGAAGTACATCTAAAGAGTTTTGAGAAAGGAGTCTGGGGAGATGAATTCTGAGGAGAAGCTGGAACAAAGTGCCACAGCGAAAGAGAGGGGCACTGTATACTTCAAGGAAGGCAAGTACAAGCAAGCTCTACTGCAGTGCAAGAAGATCATGTCTTGGCTGGAGTCTAGTTTTCCAGTGAGGAAATGCAAAAGGTCCATACTCTTTGGAGTGGCCTCACATCTCAATCTGGCCATGCGTCACCTAAACTGCAGGCCTTCTCAGCTGCCACTGAAAGCTGTAATAAGGCCCTGGACTGGACAGCAACAATGAGAAGGGCCTCTTCCATCTGGGAGAGGCCCACCTGGCTGTGAATGACTGACCTGGCAAAGACTGACATCCAGAAGGTCCTGCAGCTCTATCCCAAAAACAAAGCCACAAGACCCAGCTGGCTATTGCATCCTGGCAGTGGACTCGCAAGCAGATTGCCTGCAAGAAGAAGCTCTACGCCAACATGTTTGAGAGGCTGGCTGAGGAAGAAAGCAGGCCCAGGTGGACAAGGAGACCACTCCATCGACAAAGAGATAAAGGACCAGCAGAACAGTGTGGCAGAGAACCAGTCACAAGTGGGGACAGAACCCTAGCCTGTCTTCCCTGCCCAGCCCTGTGGCTGCCTACCTCCTTCCCTTCTCTACCATGTTAGTTTTGTAAAAACTGAAGAATTTTGAGTAAATTAGAAAAAGAAAACCCAAAATAACAAAAAACTCTTTCCCAAATGCTCTGTCAGTTAACTTTAAATTCAAGTTTCACTCATTAGAAAATTTTCTTATATATACAAACAACAACAAAAAAATGTAAATCCCTGTCATTACAGCACTCAGGAGGCTAAGGTAGGAGTAGAGCAAGTTTGAGGCCAGCATGGACATAGAGACCCTGTCTCCAAAACAAATTATATATATATGTTTCCATCCAAAATGTTATGCTAGCATTAGAGAATTACTGTTTATATAAACATTCCTTTCTAAGGCGGGCATGGTGGCACATGCCTTTAATCCTAGCACTCCAGAGGCAGGTGGATCTCTGTGAGTTCAAGGCCAGCCTGGTCTACATAGTGAGTTCCAGAACAGCTGGGGCTGCAGGGAGACCCTGTCTCAAAAAGACCAAAAAAAACCCCAAACACTCCTTTTTAATTCTATTTGCTTTAATTAAATGTGTCCAATTATATGAAGGACTAATATACAAGTTACTGAAGTGACTTTGGTGTAGTGACATGGTACCAGGCAGCCGCTTTCCCAATTCTCTAAAGGGTGAAACTGCTATGTACTAGCATATTAAATTACATAAAAGAAAAGCATAGTCTCCATTTTACCTAATGTCTTCACATGATATATTACTTCTAAATAGCATTTTCTTATCCAAGAGTGACATGCCAGAAAACAGATATGGCTAAAAGTGATGACTTTAGCTTTTATAAGCTCTGACCCAGTTTCCCTCAAAACAAAAGGGCACCACTACATTACCTTTAAGGGCTCTTTCCCAAGTCAGATAATATTTTACTTAACTGATTTTTTGTGGAGGGGGCGGGTAGGAGTGAGACAGGGTGGTCTAGAACTCACTATGTAGCCCAGGGTGATCTTAAATGTTCCATCTTCCCATTTCTCTGCCTCCCTAGTGCTGAGATTACAGTTTAGTGCCACCACACCCAGTTGGTGATGCTTTTTAAATAGATGAATAAAACATTATTTGTGTCTTGTAGGCAATGTGACAGTGCATAAACAGTATAAAGTTACAGTAAAGAAATGTGAATTACAGTGCTAATTCACTACATCACTAAATGGCAAAGTTCTATCACTGATCAGCTAAGGTAATATGTGAACATTTTTAAGTACTCATAGACTTTAAGTAAAAATTCTTTGCAGTTTACAACTATATCTCCATAATTTCTTTTGACATACAAAAAGCTGTACAGTTAATATATTTTCTCAATGTTTGTAGACACGTACACATCCATTCAAGTTTCACCAGAATCCATGCCACAACCATGTCCATCCATCACCCCGAAAAGCTTCACCCCATCTACTGTTAACTTTTTGTGATAACAACACTAAAGATCTGTAAGTATTTTTTAAAGCAGACATGATGATATATCTCTAGAACAGTCTATCTTGCCTAACTGAAACTTTCTCTTTTGACCAATACCTCCCTATTTCCACATCTTCCAGTCCCTTGCAACCACCACTTATTTAGTCTTTGAGTCTATGAGACAGACTATTTTAGATTCCTCATAAAAGTAGGATTATCTCACGTCTGGCTTGTTTCACTTTGCATAATTCCCTTTATATTGTTGCAAACAGTAGGATTTCCTGGTTTTTTGTTTTTTTTTTTTTTAGGCTGGATAATACTCCATTGTATTTTTTTTACCCACTCAACTGCTGATGAACATCTTGGTTACTTTTTTGTCTTAGCTGTTGTGAATAATGCTACAATAAATGCAAATACAGGAGTTTTGATATCTTAAGATGCCGATTTCAATTCCTTTGGATACATACCTAGAAGTGAAATTTCTGGTTCAACAGCAGCTCTATTTTTCATTTCTGAAGAACCTTCATACTGTTTTCAGTTGTGGCTACACTAATTTATACTCTCACAGAAAGTATACAAAGGTTCCCTTTTACCACATCCTCACCAGATCCAACACTTAGTATCTTTTGTTTCTTTGATTAACAGCCATCCTAACAGATATGAGGTAGTATCTCATCATGGTTTTGATTTGCAGCTCGCCAATGACTAGTGATGATGGGCACCTTTTCATATACCTATTGAGCACTTGCTGGTTCTTAATTGCTCTACGACAGAAAAGAATGCTAAGGAAGAGATAGTTTACTTATTAGTTGAATTAGTTAAATTATCCATGACCTCAACTGGAAGTTTATTAAAAAAAATCTTAATTATTTCCTTTCAGGTTCCTACTGTGATTTCTTTCTAGATGGTGGAAATTATATTTGGTATAAAACATGTATTTCAGAAATACTATCTTTTCGTGGTGCTATATGGAGAAGCAATCAAGCATGCTTTCATTTATAATTACTTAGGCAAAGTTTATTAAATAACAAATTTAGTCTCTGAAAATTTGTGAGGTACAGTCTTAATCAGATGCCTCACTTTCACTGTAGTAGTGAAAAATTCCTTTGTCCATTTCATTTTGTGGTTAGGCAAATGCTCTAAATATACTTACCTTCGGCAACATAGGGGTATCCCTTTTCTTCTTCTTTTCTGAATTAGGGTCATCTAACAAGTCTGGCTCAAAGGTATAAAGCTCAGTAAGCTCATTCATGGTAAAATGACGCTCAACTTGCTGTTGATCAACAACTCGAAAAGACAGTGACTGCTTAGTTACCTGACGATCATAAATCTTATCTTCCATGGTTCCCTTCATAAAAAAAAAAGGAACAATATACAAGTAGGTAAAATTATCAACATGAAACTTAATTTCATGTTAATATATTTCCATGAAGAATCACTACCAATGTTACATCATTCATGAAAGATTTCACGTGCTCAGGAAAATTTACCATGACACATTAAGAAAATTATATCCTAAATTATGTGACCAAAATGCATCTGTGTGCTGCTTTAGGTATTTCTGTACTTGATGAAAGTTAGAGAGCAGACAGACACAAGAGTATATCAAAATAAAGGGTACATGAAATAAGCAAGTAGGTAGAAAAAAAAAAGAAAGTAGGTGGGAAATAAAATTAGAATGCAAGAGAGTGATTGAATTCCTTCTTAGTGTAATATAATAAGCTAACAACCACAAAACTGCCTTTATATTAAATGTTACTTTCTATGTTTCAGTACAGAAAACTAATATGAAATATCAAATTCATTACTTCTTTGATTTTGTTTATTTTTCTTACATTTGAGTTGGGGGTGGCTGATTTTGGTTTTGTTTTTAGACAGGAATCTATGTATCCCAGGCTACCCCTGAATTCACCATCCTCCTGCCTCCACCACCTTTATGCTGAGATTACAGCTGTATGCCAACACAGCTGGCTTCTGTCTATCTTTTAATACCTGGGTTTATATTTAAAGGAAATTACATTAATAGTCTTATCTAAAAAGCATCAGTCTTTTATAATGATTTTAGGTTACTATTAAGAATTCAAATTTTCTTTTTATTTACTCACATTTTCAAATTAAAAGATTACTGATGGCCACTGGGAAAACAATGACCTTTCTTCTATAAGCAAATTAATTTTAGTGATTGGTCTTTTGATGCATGCTAAGTAAATACAGCAGAAATGTTTAACTTTCCTCATCACATAAAACAATCTCAATCTGAAAAGATGACATTACAGAAGTTGCAAAATAGAAAATTATGAGGCCAAACTTGACTTCTGCTTTATATGGAAAATATTTTCAACTTTGTCTCTCTGTAATATATCTATACCCTACACACCTAAAATTTATTGGTCTCATCTATACATGTTCTGCACCTCTAGAATATTATTTGTTTCATCCCACTTTTCAATATGAAAAAGAAATTATAAATTATAAACCTACCTGAGCTAAGAACCTATATACATAAACAGGCTTAGTTTGTCCAAAGCGATAAACTCTGAATATGCTCTGGATGTCATAAGATGGATTCCAAGAAGCATCAAATATAATCACTCGATTAGCAGCTACCAGATTAATCCCAAGAGATCCTGCTTTGGTGGAAATGATAAACAATCGCCCTCTGAAAATAAAAAAAATGAAATGCTTAGTTTTGATATAACTTTTTGAGGCAGGGTCTTCCTGTAGCCCCAGCTGGTCTGGAACTCGGCATGTAGACAAGGTTGTTCTTGAACTCACAGGTATCCATCTGCCTCTCCCTCCCAAGTGCTGGGATTAAAGGTGTGCACCACCACGCCCGGCTTGATATAACTTTTTTAGTCCTAAATTAGTTTTGTGAAAATCAGGAGTTCAGAAAATACACTGCATTTTAGCCCAGGAGTTTGAGAAACAGCCTAGGCAACAGTGAGATTCCATTCCCATAACAAAACAACAAACAGTAGCTTATTAAATTTCACACAAATTTACAACAGTAATAAAGTAGTAAAGAGAGTTCCTTTGTATATTATCTTTTACAGGGTTTCCTTCAATGGTATAACTAACATATCTACCGTACATTTCAAAACCAGGAAACTGATGGTATAAATTGAAGTATGGAGCACTTTTGGATTTCGCTAGTTTTTGTTTGGTGTATATTTCTCTGAAATTTTATTTTTAAAAAAGTAGAACCATGTCAGCATTGTCATATGCAGGATACAGAATTGTTTCATTGTTACAAAAGAAAAAAATTACATACCTTCTTTGCATTATTATTTACCATTCACTCTAACCCTAAACCTTGGCAACCACTGATTTGTTCTCCAGCTATGTAATTTTGTCACATCAAGAATGCTATGAGGCACTGGGGATATAGCTCAGATGGCAGAGTCAATTCCTAGCATGCACAAAACCTTGGGTTCAATCCCCAACACCTCCAACAGTGGTGTGGTGGGGCACACCTGCAATCCCAGAACTTCAAGATCATCCTTGCTATGTACAGTGTGTTCTTGGCCAGTCTGGGACACACGAGACCCTGACTCAAAAAGAAAGAGAAAGCTATACGAAAAGAACTATAAAATAAAAGATTGGTGGGGGTTTTTATCCCATTTGGCACAATGTCCATGAGATCTAGGCATGTTTTTATTTGGGTCAATACCCATACTGAAATTAGTATACCGTTCACATGTTACAGGACATTTGGGTTGATTCCAGTTTCAGACCCATCAAACCCAGGGCTTCGTGCATGCTAGGCAAGCACTCTACCAACTAAACTACATAACCAGCCATGATATTTTTAAATTTTGCTTTTACTTGCTTATTTTATTTGTAGTTCATTTATTTAGAGACGTCTTGTTATTATTCCATTGCACATTTTGTAATCCCTAAGAGTTGGGGAGGTGGAGGCAGATAGGTCAGAACTTCATGGTCATCATCAGCTACAGAGGGAGTCCGAGGCCAGACTAGGATACACGAGATCCTACCTAAAAAACATACACCCGTACCCCATCTCTTCTGTCGTGGGTATTGGCCTATTTTTTTCTCTTGGCACCCCAGACCTCTGGACTGCTCCCTTGGCCCAGACTCCCCACTGCTTCCTGATCCTTTGCACCCAGACCAACCCAATTCCTGGATCTAGTCCCTGGGAGCCCTCTGGGCCTGTTCCTTCCCCTACCTCGCCTTCGCATCGCTGGCTGGCCCAGCCCCAGCTTCCTAGGGCCAGCATCTTTCCTGGGTAAGTTTGGGCACGCCCACTGCACCTTGATGCCACAGCCTAGTTCACCCTCCCAGCTCCGCCACCCCTTCTCTCCTGCTACCACAGGCACAGGCACATTTCTTCTCTTGGCACCCCAGACCTCTGGACTACCTTCTTGGCCCAGGCTCCCCACTACTTCCTGATCCTTTGCACCCAGACCAACCCAATACCTTGGTCTGGTTGCTTGGAGCCCTCAGAGCCTGTTCTCTCCCCCACCTCCCCTGTGCATGCCTGAGACAGGCCCTCTTCCCTGACCAACACAGCCCCCAACTTCCTGAGTCCAGCATCTTTCCAGGGTAAATTCGACCATGCCCACTGCACCTTGACTCCCACAACCTCGTTCACCCTCCCGGCTCTCCCACCCCATCTACTTCAGGGGTGGGCACTGGGCCATTTCTTCTCTTAGCACCCCAGACCTCTGGACAGCCCTCTTGGTCCAGTCTCCCCACTGCTTCCTGATCCTCTGCACCAAGACCAAACCAATTCCTCCATCTAGTCCCCTGGAGCCCTCGGGGTCTGTTCCCTCCCCCAACATGCTATTACATACCTGAGACCAGCTGTCATCCCTGGCTATCCCACACCCCCAACCTGGATTTCTGAGACCATCCTCCTTCCCTGCTTCCTCTGGGGTCCTGAGACCAACCTACTTCCCTGACTGCCTGAGAGGGCTGAATCCAACCTCTACCTACCAATCCTCCCAAATTGTACTGTGCCTGCTGACTATATGGATCCAGATCTTAGGAGCAAGCCTGAGAGCATCTGATCCTCATCCGACATGGACCTCTGTGAGAACTCCTGAGCAGCAGGACAAAACCAATTTGGCCACTCCAATATAAAATCAAAAGAGAAAACCTGAGGCCTAGACCAACCAGCTTTGCATGCCCAACAAGTAAACCACAAAGGCACATAAAGTTTACAATAAGAGGGAGACCTAAACTCAACAAAGGAAGGCTTGAGTCTCACACAAGAACCAGAAACTACAATTCAAAATAACAATTATAAACATGATAAAATAATTTAGTGAATTTAAAGAACATACAAACAAAGGAATCAAAAAACTGAAAGAAGATAGGGATAAACTGCTGAATGAATTCAGAAGAGTTAAGAATACTGAAGAATACTCAGGCTGAAATGCAGAAGTAAGTGAAACACTCAAAAAGCCAATTAGAAACAACAGGAGAAAGCCTCACCACTAGGATGACTGAAATGGAAAACAGAATATCAGGACTGGAAGATAAAGTGGATGAATTAGACCACTCAAGCAAAGATCATGAAAAATTCAAGAAAACACAAGAATGGAATATGCAGGAATTGTGTGACACCATAAAAAGACCAAACTTATGGATCATAGGCATAGAGGAAGGAGAAGAATCTCAGGATAATGGTATGAACCAGAACTTCAACAAGATTGTAGAAGAAAATTTCCCAAAATTAAAGAAAGACAGGCCCATATAAATACAAGAAGCACACAGAACACCAAATAGACAGGACCTGAAAAGAAACTCTCCACAGCACATCATAGTATAAAACACTAAATGTACATAAGAAAGAAACGCTGCAAAAGAGAAACAAATCACATATAAAGGAAAACCCATTAGGATTACAGCTGACTTTTCAGTGCAAACTATGAAAGCCATAAGAGTCTGGACCAAAGTATTCCCAGTTTGAAATGACCACAGATGCCAACCCAGATTACCATACCCAGACAAAATGTCTATTATAGTTGAAGGGGAAAGAAAAAAATCTTCCATGACATAAATAGGCTGAAAGAAGTCATGTCCACAAAACCAGCCCTTCAGAGAGTTCTTGAAGCAATACGGAGAGCTAAAGGAAGGAATGCCTGATACCCAAGGGGTAAGAGAAAGAAACTTAATGAAGGTATGACTGTGGAAACGCACAGCTATACCAACAATGTGAACAGAAATCAAAACGACAGGAATCAATACACATCTTTCATTAATAACTTTAAATATCAATGGACTGAACTCACCAGTCAAAAGCCACAGACTAGTTGAACAGATTAAGAAACAAAACCCATCTTTTTGTTGTCTGCAAGAAACTCATCTCACTTTCAAGGACAGGCACTACCTTAAGGTGAAAGGATGGAAAAAAATATTTCAAACAAATGGTACTAAGAAAAAAGCAGGAGTTGCAATTCTAATATCTGACAAAGCAAACTTCAAACTAAAACTACTCAGAAGAGATAAAGAAGGCCAATTCATTCTGATCAAAGTAACAATCGACCAAAAAGATACTACAATCATGAACATATATTCACCAAACTCTGGTGCACCCAACTTCATAAAAACAGTACCACAGGACTTTAAGACCCAGATTAATCACAACTCATTAATAGTAGGGGACTTCAATACCCCATTGTCTCCATTAAATAGGTCAACAGGACAGAGAATTAACTGAGAGACATCTGAATTAAACAATACCATACATCAAATGGGCCTAACAGACATCTACCAAATATTCCACCCAATCACCAAAGAATGTACTTTCTATTCAGTACCCCAGGAAACCTTTTCCAAAGCCAACCACACACTGGGGCACAAAACAAGGCTCAACAAATACAAAAAGACAGAAATAATTCCATGCATTCCCTCAGACTACAATGCAATGAACCTTAGTATCAACATTGGAAGAAACCCTAGTAACTACAGGAACACAAGACGACTAAACAACACACTTCCGAATGATGAATGGGTCAAAGAAGAAATTAAGTAAAACATAGAAGTATTCCTGGAACTAAATGGACAGTACAACACAATAAAACCTCTGGGACAAAGTTGAAAGAAATCCTTAGAGGAAAGTTTATAGCTTTAAGTTCCTACATTAAAAAATCAGAAAGAACACAAATAAATGACTTAACATTACAACTCAAGACACTTGAAAAGCAACAACAAATGAAACCCAAACCCAGCAGATGAGAATAAATAACAAAAATCAGAGCAGAAATTAATGAAATAGAAACAAAGAAAACAATACGAAAAAAAAAAAATCAATGAATCCAAGAGCTGGTTCTTTGAAAAGATAAACAAGATTGATAGACCCTGAGCGCAGTTAACCAAAAGAAAGAAAGAGCACCTCCACATCAACAAAATCAGAGATGAAAGGGGAAACATTCCAACAGACACCCAAAAGATCCAGAACATCATAAAGGAATACTTTAAAAACCTATACACTACTAAATTTGAAAACCTAAAAGAAATGGATGGGTATCTACAAGCATGGGAACACCAAAACTTAACCAAGAAGAGATCAAGGACTTAAACAGCCCAATAATGCATAAGGAAATTGAAACAGTAATACAAAACCTCCCAACTAAAAAAAGCCCAGCACCAGATGGATTTGCAGCATTTAAAGACCACCAACCAATACTACTT